AGTCAAATTAACCACAAAGTCTACCTTATGGAATGTTATTATATAAAATATATTGATTTTGTGTAGATGACCCGACCTAGTTTTATAACTAGAGACATGATTCAAAGTGGTTTTGTGTTTTTTCATTCATTTTTCTTTTTTTTTTTTGGCTTTCAGAATATTGTTGATGAAGTACAGACTGAAATGTGAAAGTTAAGTTAAGATTAATTTTGAGCAATTGGTATGAGGAAAGAGGTATGTTAAAACCACAAACATACGTAATGTGATTTATTTGCTGACAATTACATTTCAAAAATGAAATCAATCATAAATATCTACATGCTGATAATGTTTTTGTTTTGCTGATGTAAAGTTTGCAAGTAATTTTATTTGTTTGTTTATTTTATTATTACAAATTTGACATACAGATGACCAGGAGGAAACCATGAGCTAAGGGACAAACACAAAAGTGGAACCTTGAATAAAATTCAATATAAATATGTAAAAGATATACACTATGCTTAAAATTTATAAACATTAAGAACCACGATAAAAAATAAGAAGAAAAAAAGGTTAATCTAGGTTTCTAATTGGCTTGTTACAGTCTGTTTGAAGGTGGTAGTTATGGTGTTTTGCTTTACCAGAAAAACTGATTTTATTGATATGACTGAGAGCAACATTATTAAACATTGAATAACTACCAAAATTATATATTTTTAAACAATTGACAGTACTATAGTTGCTCGAAGCCCACCCCCCTACTTTATGCCCAATTTGTTTGTACCAGCCTTTCATCTGTCAAAAGGCCAGGGTATATGATTTAAATATTTTGGCTTTGAATTAGATATACATGCTGTAAATTGCCATTTAATTAAAAGGAGATTCCTAGGAAAAGTCAACCCCCCAGAAATTACATAGCTGACTCTGCGAAGACAAGGGTCTCCAATCTGAGCTCAGACAGTGCAAGATCATAGGTTTCATTAGGTTTTAATTAGGATGTACAGTAGCATCATATATTTATTTATTTATGGTTGTACAGATATTATCTTTTCTACTCACCTGTACATCAATTTTATTGTTATTTTACGTTTATTGCTCCTTTTTTGTGTATCTTAAATAAATTTTTATTTTTTATTTGAATTTGAATTGAATTTTCTTTAAATATATTTTTATTTATTGCATTTTCAGTTAATATATCTAAAAAAATGTGTAGTATGTCAGCATTTTTCAGTAAGTTTTCTGTGGCCTTACCTTAACCTCAATCTAATATTTTTATTTTCCTGTGTATTAGTTTATTGGAAATATTTGTTTGTTTTGTTTGCTTCCAGTTTAGCTTTACAAAAACGAAAATTTGTCATCTATATATTTGTTTGGTTTTTTTTTTTTTTAAACTAATCAACAGTTCAAACTATGTAGTGTTGTCTAAGCTTCTTTTTAACTGTTTTAAAATAAGTAAATATTTTAGTGTGTATTTAGGCCAGTTTCTGAATTTGTTATTTCAAGGAATTTGCATTACTGGCTGGCTAGAACCTAATGGAACATGTAATAGGCCTAACAAAATTTCAGGACACTCATTCAAATTATGTAGAAATACCGTATAGTATTATTCATTATTAAAAATGCAAAGGATTGCTATTGCAAGTTGTGGAATTATAGATTAAGCACTTACTTGAGAGGGGAGGGGTAATAGTGTGAAAGGTCAAGGACAGGAAATGTAGTTTGAAATGAATATTGGAGTAAACTGAGAGGTACAGGAATTTATATACAGGTACGAATTTAGAAAGTGAGAAAATATATCTTCAAATGAGTGACTTATGGGGTTGCACGTGAGTGGGGGAGCGATGCAGGGCCCTAAAATAATCTCATGCCCTCAGTGGCACTCCTTTGAAAATATTGGAAACAAAAAAAATTACCTAATGTCGACCTTATTTTGCGAGCTTAGTTCCCCCACACTTAATCCTTGTCAAACCCCCTCTCCATCATTCCCTCCATTTTAAGACTCCTAGGCAGGCCTACGCCTCTGCTTCGAATCAATTGAATAATTAATTAGGTAAATTTAATAGCTCGAAATACTGTAAGTATTATACATTGATCCAAAAATAGATTTAATAGCATTAATGTGTGTGTGTCATACTGTACACCCTTCATCACTATAGGTCTGTATGCAATGCTGCAAACCTTTATTGCGCTAGGGAGATCAGTAAAGCTGATTCGTATCCTGGGGCTGTTCCTGATGTCAGAAAATTAATTTGGAGTTTATTCTTAGAAGAGTAATTTTCTACAATGACAATTGGAGGATATTGGGAAAGATTTTAATGTGAATTTCCTTGCCATGTTTCCACTTAAACAGTTTATTTTATATGTCATGGAAGTATCATCCTTAATCCGAATATATATATATATATATATATAATAAATATAGAAATAATTGAAAAATAAAATGAAAGCCAGAGTAAGATACTGGACTCATTTTTCCTAGATTTTTCTCTACATCATTGTTTGAGTGTAAAAGGTGGTTATAGTTCTATGTTGAATCCAAACTTGTTGAAGAATTTTAAAAAATAAAAATAGAATGCACAATTCACCAAGAGGACGAATGAAAACTATGGATAAACACAGTTGAGCGGGATACTATAGTACTTAGTCACAATACGTTTTGCCTTGATGATGGTCACTAAACTTTAGCAGGTAGCTAAAAGGATATTTCTGAGGTTAACAAATTTTACTTTATACCATTCTACATGAGAAATTATACAATTGATCTGAAGGATTGTCAGCACAAACAAACATGTTTACATCGGCCATTTTGATACCTAGATGATCTGTGCTCTAACAGGGTCAAAATGTCAAAGGCGGTATCCAGACAAACTACAATTTGCTTGCCTCTCATTTGGAGTCCATTGGCTGGCACTCTGTAGTTTTCTGTATTGTTTTGCAAGCTGTCTTTGCTATGTGTGTTTGTATGCTTTTGTTATTTGTTATTTTCCTTTCGTTGTTTGATGTTTGGGGCTGCTGAATCGCCCTCCTCCTATTTCAGAAGCCAAAAGAAACAATAAAAATAGTAAAATAACTCACAAAGAATAAAGTCAGCTGTGCAATTTTTTTCATTGAATTCAGAACCTTAATTGAGTAATCAACCAATTATTGGCAAGAATCAAATAGGTCTGTACCATTCAGATACCTAGGATGTCTGTTTCTTTCATTGAATGTAGTTACTGCATGTCCTACCTCTTCATAAAATGTTAGTATCGAGAGCCTCCGTTTATTTATGTTACTGAGTGTTTGCTGTTTTATATGTTTATATAAGGAACCAGTTCATAATAAAATAACACATACATAAACACCCACTCAGTTTTATGGGGTAGACACAACTAATAATCGTAATACTATTCTGGAGCCTCTACAGAAATATTTAAGTTTGAGTATGGGGAGCAATACATGACAAATTCATGTGAGAACAAGATGACTCACAGGAGTTGTAGCCATTATTACTCCCTTAAGGAATTGAAGTTATTTATTGAGCAGCAGGATAATTTGTTTCCAAACCGGAAGGCAGCGGGTGCCAGCAGGAATGAGGAGGGTCTAGTGTCCCCACGGCCTTGTTCTTGTCTCCTTAAAAAAACAAATGATTCATAGGTTAAAGTTTCCTTTAATCATTCATTTTTGTTCATGCTCATACATTGCATCAAAAACCGCTAGTCCTCGGACCCATTACAAATTAGCTGCAGTGAGTTATGCCAATTTAATGGGTTATGCCAACTCAAATTCTCTCAACTTCTTTGTCTTTTTCGAATTGTAAATTGTCTGTTTTTTATGTGATTTTTTTTTATTGTGCCTGTATATACGTGCACAGAATAAATCATATTAAATATTGGCTATTAGTTAAGTTTAATCAGCAACTTATGTTAAATACATATCCCTTTGTCTTCAGATATACAATAAGACAACAAAATATAAATTTAACAGTACAATTCACAAGTAAAAAAAAAACACAATTAACTCGGATATGGCATTATAAGTCAATGCCATGGAGCTTTCTGAGTTTTCGCCAGGCGCCAGCCAAAACGTAATGAAATACATACAAAATAATACAGTGCTAAGTGTCCACTTTCAAACAAATTCATAATTTAAATTCTCTAGTTTATCCATATTAAAAATGTGTTCACTTTAAAGTTAATTATCAAAGTTGTTGTAAATATTACTTTTCACTGGTTAATCTATTCATTGGCATAACCTGAGGATTTTTCAGAGTGCCTGAGCATATCCCTTTTGTTCAAACATAAACAAATTATAGTAAATTTTGGAAATAAGTGGCAAAGTGAGTTACTTTAGGGATTAATAACCAATCTATGGTGTAGACATAGCCATCGATAAATTCTAGATACACCACTGTTATTAATGATCAAGGCTATAAATATATAAACCATACTTATATAATGCAGTATAATCTAAATCATATATAACTTTGCCCAACATGAACAGTTAAAATTACAAAATGAGGCTAATATCTTGATGGTTAATATGATTATCTTTCAATTCCATATTATTCCTGGAAAGTCCAACAAATATTTTCACTTTGATGCTGCAGAAACTAAAATAGAAAATATAGTATATAGATGGCATATTTATTCTGTTATTAAGTATTAAGAATAATTAT